CAGGGGCGGTAAGAAGGAACTGAGGGGGCGCCGGGTCGGCTGGGGGATATATTCAGCGCCATGAAGGCGCCACTCTAGGGGGCTCCACAGCCGACCCGCCGGTGTTGCTAGGGTAAAAATCTTCCGACGATCGTGCACGCGGCGCGCACACACCTAATGGAATGGATATGAGCAAGCACTCGAAGAAGAACATTAATTTACTGTGTGAGATCTCCATAACAATACACATGTTTATGAAATTTCACCAACTTTAAAAAATATGTTTCCAAAGATTTTAGGCATAACGAAGGATTTTATATCTTACTAAGGTACTGATTTTGCTTAAAACTAGTTCATCAGGTAGTCAGAAGTAAAGAAAGGGAAATTCTTTGTCCAGCTATCTGGAAGCAAAGGGCTGTTGCTTCCTTCAATGGGGGTGGGAGGGAGGAGAGGGGGTGAAGGGAGAAATGGATGGACAGAAAGGACAGGAAGACTTTGGAAGTAAGTTTTTTTTCTATAATAATTAAAATGTGTATTTTAGATAAGGGCGGTCTTTTGAAAAAATTATTTTAAAAACCGTATGTCTGAAGATCCAAGCATTTAAGGCTAAAGATGATTGTGCATCTAAAAATCTATACAAGGATTTTTTAGAGATGTGATTTTATAATCTTCACCAACTCACTAATGAAATATTTTTAAAGCAAATTTTAAACTTAGGTCCTGTAGACTGACATGTTCTGAGTAAATATTACAGTCATGCACAACTGTTTTTGTCAGTACTGACAGTAGATACCTGGGAGTTGGCAAATGCCTGTTAAATGTCTTCATTACCCCTTGAATGGCTCTTTAACAGTTTCAGTGTTGTACTAATAGGTCTGGCAGGCTGGAGACTGTTTCTCTTTTAACTACTAGATCCCCTTCCCAGGAAGACTCAGAGCCTGCAGGAAGGGTCAGAACAGGGACAGGAAAACCAGTGGGGTGGACACTAAGACCCAATGGTGCCCCAAATTTTCAGGTGCCCTACCCGGCTGCCTATGCCTGAGGACGGCCCCAGGCGCCCCCAACCACTTGCCGCCCTAAGCAACTGCCTAGTTCACCTAGTGGTTGCATCGGCCCTGTGTCTACCCACTTAGGGCTGCCCTGTGATAGCACCTATCTCTGTAGCATATCCCAGGTAAATTAAATCCACAGAACAGCTCCCATTTGTTTTCAGTGAGTTTCTCATCTGCATCTCTAAGTTAACATGTGGCTCCATTGTTTATATAAACTGACATCAACCATGTGTATTTACTATTCAGCTCTCTGACTTTATAACCATCCAAGGCATTAGCTTGTGTGCTCCCCTGGCTACTCTGTGGGCAGTTTCCAAATTCCTGGGCCTGGTAAGTAGCTTGTTTTCAGGCAAAGAGTATAACGTGAAGTAGACTAACAGCTGTAAGATAGCAGTGAGGGACATGTCATAAAAGTCATGGCAGGCAAATGATGTATCGCATCTAGAAGAAGAGATTTGTCCCCTTCAGGTCACTTTTGTACATGCTGCCATTGGCTAGCTTCCTATTTTTAACCTTAGAAAAGGAACATAAGCAGTAAAAGCCCCAAGTCAGTAAAAGCATCCCTATACAGGAGAGTACTCAATTATTGTACTTTAGTCTCACTAAAGTCAATGGATCTTAAGTGTGTGCTTTTTGTGAATATCAGAGTAAAAAAAAAAGTAACTTTAAATGAATGTTCCATAATCAGTGTTATATGGATTTTTTAAAAAAGAAAAGAAAATGATTGTGTGCTGATCATTTTAGAGGAGCCTAAACTAAGATACTTGCAAAGCATGATTCAAAGTCATGGATGATGTTTTTGACATCTCTCTAATACTTAAAAAAAAAGTATATTGAGTGTCTTTAAGGGATACAGTGAAACTAATTAGTCCAAGGGAGGATAAGGTTCAACACATTGAGCCATGTAATGAGGATAAAAACACATTTGCAGATTTTTAATAATCTTAAAAAATACCTCTGGTGACTCACAGCTGCCAAGGTGCTCAAAAGAAGTGCTGAGTGTGGGCAGTATCAAATCTAGTGACGTTAATGGCTAGTTTAACTCACTCCATCGTACCACAATATGAAAATAAGAGCAGTCAAACAACGAATGTTTCACCCTCAACTGCCTTCAAGAATTTTTCATCTGTGTTTTCTTCTTCTCTCGGCTTTGTGATAGACTGAAATCAGCTGGTGTTGCAAGTTCTATATGATGCGCTATCATTAGAGCCACCTTCAGCCTGGCGCTAATCACCCACAACTCACCAAGCAAATCAGCACCTCTCAGGATTTGGCCTCTTGAAACTTATTTTATACACCAAGGTTAATCCTCTGTGCAGTGGCTGGCCTGAGTAACCAGATCAGATGATGGGCAGGTATGTAGAGGACCAAGAGTGGAGGAATCCTGGCTCCTGACCCCAGGCCATGGAGCTGCTTCCTGGGGTGGAGGACAAAAGGATCCTTTCTCTCTCTCTCTATCCTCTAGCTCAGCCCATCCGTGTTCTGCCATTGTCCGTGCTGATGTGCAGGGGTCATTGTGGAGCTGAGCTCACTGCCACACAGTAGTGCACACATCCTGCACCGCCCACTCACAGCCAGCTCCACCCACCTTGCACAACAAATATGCATTAGTTCCATTGCGTGGAGAGCTTCCATGGGCATGGAAGAACAGGCTGGATTTTAGTCCAATTGAATCGAAGGCAGGAACCTTTTCAATAAATGTGGTCTTGTGCTCACATACACAGGTGTAAGTCAGCAGTATCTCCACTGGAGAATGGAAATACAATGGGATAGAATCGGCGTGAGCAGATCAGCATCAGTCATGTGCTGCACACTACATAAGAGTGGCCCTACTGGGTCAGACCAAGGGTCCATCTAGCCCAGTATCCTGTCTTCTGACACTGGCCAATGCCCGGTGCCCCAGAGGGAATGAACAGAACAGATAATCATCAAGTGATCCATCCCCTGTCGCTCATTCCCAGCTACTGGCAAACAGAGGCTAGGGACGCCATTCCTGCCCATCCTGGCTAATAGCCATTGATGGACCTATCCTCCATGAATTTATCTATTTCTTTTTTGAACCCTGTTATGGTCTTGACCCTCTGGCAAGGAGTTCCACAGGTTGACTGTGCGATGTGTGAAGAAATACTTCCTTTTATTTGTTTTAAACCTGCTGCCTATTAATTTCATTTGGTGACCCCTAGTTCTTGTGTTATGAGAAGTAGTAAACAACACTTCCTTATCTACTTTCTCTAGACCAGTCATGATTTTATAGAGCTCAATCATATCTCCCCTTAGCTGTCTCTTTTTCAAGCTGAAAAGTCACAATCTTATTAATCTCTCCTCTTTGGAAGCTGTTCCATACCCCTAATCATTTTTGTTGCCCTTTTCTGAACCTTTTCCAATTCCAATATATCTTTTTTGAGATGGAGCGACCACATCTGCACACAGTATTCAAGATGTGGGCCTACCATGGATTTATATAGAGGCAACATGATATTTTCTGTCCTATTATCTATCCCTTTCTTAATTATTCTCAGCATCCTGTTCGCTTTTTTGACTGCCGCTGCACATTGAGTGGATGTTTTCAGAGAACTATCCACAATGACTCCAAGATCTCTTTCTTGAGTGGTAACAGCTAATTTAGACCCCATCATTTTATATGTATAGTTGGGATTATGTTTTCCAATGTGCATTACTTTGCATTTATCAACATTAAAGGTCATCTGCCATTTTGTTGCCCAGTCACCCAGTTTTGAGAGATCCTTTTGTAGCTCTTTGCAATCTTAAAGATCTTTAGTAATTTCAGTTACCAGTCCATGAGAGCACCTTCACTCTTATCCCATGGCAGCTTACTTTGAGGAAGAGCCGTTGGTGAGGGACCTTGTCAAAGGCTTTCTTAAAATCTAAATACACTATATCCACTGGATCCCCTTGGTCCACATGCTTGTTGACCCCCTCAAAGAATTCTAGTACATTGGTGAGGCATGATTTCCCTTTACTAAAACCATGTTGAATCTTCCTCAACAACTTATGTTCATCTATATATCTGACAATATTGTTCTTAATTATAGTTTCAACCAGTTTGCCCGGTACTGAAGTCAGGCTTACAGGCCTGTAGTTGCCAGGATCACCTCTGGAGCCCTTTTTAAAAATTGGCGTCACATTAGCTATCCTCCAGTCACCGGGTACAGAAGCTGATTTAAATGAAAGGTTACAGACTACAGTTTGTAGTTCTGCAATTTCACATTTGAGTTCCTTCAGAACTCTTGGGTGAATACCATCTGGTCCTGGTGACTTATTGCTGTTTAATTTATCAATTTGCTCCAAAACCTCCTCTAATGATACCTCAATCTGGGACAGTTCATCAGATCTGTCACCTAAAAAGAATGGCTCAGGTTTGGGAATCTCCCTCACATCCTCAGCCATGAAGGCTGATGCAAAGAATTCATTTAGTTTCTCTGCAATGGCCTTATCGTCCTTGAGTGCTCCTTTAGCACCTCGATCGTCCAGCCTTATAAAATAGATGCATTCATTCTCCCATTGGTTTATACTTTACTTACCTCCCAGGTAATGACCAGCTCCGACTTGCTCCCTCCACCTCCACTGACGTTAGCCGGGGTGATTTCAGGAACTGTGTAAAAGAAATGTTATAGTAGGTAGCATGAAAAGCACAAGTGATTAATTTTGAAGCTAGAAGTTTGATTCATTTTAAACAGAGAAAGAAAGAGGCACATGTAGCACTGGCATCTTGTGACTTTTCCCTTTTGGGACCATGAGCCTGACTATCAAAAGGAGAACAGGGAACAGACACTTCCACTTTTTTGTCAGTCAGATGGACAAAGAGCATGTCTAGTATCCATGTATCTAGTTGCTAATTGTTTTAAATATTTATTTTCCATATAACAAGGTCCATTTATTTTCACAATATTGATTCCTGCTTTTCAATTTAGAGCCAAAATCCTGCAGTCAGTAGGGATTTTTCCTGAGTTAAGACAGAGCAAGAACTATAAGATTGGACCCATAATGAACAGTCCTAGTGATAATTGCCTGGGGTGATATCTCCAACCCTGCTCCAAGACCTTTAGGGCAGGTGAAAGGGCCAGAGCAGCATAAAGGGGCTCGGAAAGCCCCTTGGCTATAAGGCTGCCTTTTAAGAATCTCCTCATGAGCACTAATTTAAAAGGTGTCAGGGAGTGTGGCTTGTCAGGAGCTAGGATATAGCCCATAGTGCTGCAGAGATTATGGGCAGTGCTGTGGCCCAGAGGACAATCCACAGAGGCTGCAGTAACTAAGGCTGGTTGAAATTTTTTTGACAAAAATAATTTCGGTTCGAAATGCCGTATTGTCTAACCCAAAATGGTTCATGGAAGCATATTGGTTTCAGTGAGAATTTCAAGAAAAAGCCACCCCTGAGTAGCCAAGAGCCTAGTGCTGAAGGTTGTCTCCTAGGATGTGGGAGACTCAGGTTCAAGTCTTCGTTCTGCCATATCCCAGGTGAGCGCTCTAACACCAGCCCATTGGCTATTCTGACATGTATGGACGGCTCTCTGTCTCTTGTGTTTTTTTGTGAAAAACATTTCAAAAGGTCTCATTTTTGTTCATCATCAAAATGAAAACAAACTTCAAAATTTTTTGCAACACCGGATTGATTTTTTCTGGCCAGCCCTCACCACAACTCTCACAGACGCCCCAGAGCTGTCTGAACATGGGGCGGACCAGGACCAAGAAGGCCTCAGGATGACTTAAAGCTACCTTAGGGTACGTCTTCATTACCTGCCGGATCGGTGGGTAGTAATCGATCTATTGGGGATCGATTTATCGCGTCTCATCTAGACGCGATAAATCGATCCCTGAACGTGCTCCCCGTCGACTCCGGAACTCCACCAGAGCGAGAGGCAGAAGCGGAGTCGACGGGGGAGCCACGGCCGTCGATCCCGTGCCGTGAGGACCCGAGGTAAATCGATCTAAGATACGTCGACTTCAGCTACACTATTCTCGTAGCTGAAGTTGCGTATCTTAGATCGATCCCCCCTCCCTAGGGTAGACCAGCCCTTAGTCTCTCCTCTGTCTCTGCGCTGCAAATTCTGTGCTCGGCCTCTTAAGCTACATCTACACTGCATACCACTAGCGGCAGTGTGTAGAGTTTGCGTAGCTACACACGACAGTAAAAAACAAGCTGACGCCACACTGTTATGTGTAGCTACAGTGAAAAGATCTCGTGGGGGGGCGCCTTTCTCCAATGCTGGAGTCTTTCACTGAAGTGGGGACAGTCTCCAGCAGTGGGGAGCTGTCAGAGCCTTTCCTGGCTACCTTCCCCACTGCCAGAGCCTTACCATGTTGCTAGAGCCTTTTCCTGTGACAGGGAAAGACTCTGGCAGTGGGTCATGACACTTCTGGGAAAGGCACTGCTTGGGTGTATACAGTGCTGTATAGATTACATACCCTAACCTAAGGAATCAGGTGTGTTTTTACTTGCCTAAGCAGTGCCTCAGTATATACTGCTATTCATACCCATGCTGGAAGGGTGTGAAATGTATGTACTCTACACTCCACCATAAGGAGTGTGAAGTGTAGATGTACCTGAGAGGAGTAGACCAGAAACTCACCTCTGATCTGTAGAAAAAAGTAATCATACTGTACTCTACTCTCTAGAGTGTTTCCTCCTCACAAATGTGGGACAACAGAGGGATTACTAGACTGGTTCACATCCGTGATCCATCGTATCTTCAGAGGAAGCTGAATTCACCTCTCCTCAAATGCCCTTTGTCAGCAGGGCTACAGAGGACATGGGGGAATTGGGGGAATTCTTCCCAGTCATGTACTTCTAGAAAGCATGGAATAAAGCCCATCTTGGGCCTCATTTTTTCTATTAATTCTATTCTACTCTATTTGTGTGTGCTCTTTGTGAATGTTATAAGATGAGGCAGAGGAGAAACTAGATAATATAACTGTCATATAGAAAATACTTCTTAACCTTGTTCCAGGTAACCTACTGCTTATGGCAAGGTGCTTTTTAAAAAAGACTTTATTGGGCTTCCTTTCTACTACTTACGAGCTTCTTCAGTTCTTCTTTTCTCTGAGGGTCTGCTTGGTTCCCCAATCCCAATGAGGTTGGCTGCAACTGCACGGAATTCATATTCAACCCAAGGGTTTAATCCCACCACGGTTGCAGTGAATGTCTTGCCATCAATGATATCTGGAACTGAAATATACCCCCAAGTTAGGAGAGTGAGAGTTGGACATTAAGAGCAATTACACATATTCAGTCATTGAAGAACAGTAGCCTCTTGATCTATGGGCACAGTCTTGAAACTATTAAACAATGGAAGATCACCCTGAGAGCAGAACGATTAAGGACTATGAATCTGGGCCCATAGTGTGTCTTCCCATTTTACTCCTTTGTCAATGCTTAGTATGGGGAAGCAAAGCACGCTGTATACAAACAATATGCAGGCATCAAGGAAATCTATGCTTTAGAAATTGACTTTTCATCCTCACAGAAATACCACAGTATCCTTATAGGGTCTCATTAAAAGGTAACACAACTTAGGCCTGATCTACACACAGTTTTTGTACCATATGATTATTTTGTTTAGGTGGTTATTGGTTTAACTAATAGAGATATACTGGTACAAGCCCTAGTGTGGATTCAGTTACACAGGTAAGAAGGTGCCTTATAGCATTATAGCTTATTTCCCTTCCCATGCAGGAATAGGTATACTGGTATAAGCATATTTATATCAGTGCAACTATGTTCTCTGTTGTATAGTTTTAACTATATGGGATTGGTTAAAAAACAGTACAACTTTCATGTGTAGAGAAGGCTTTCCATACATACTGTAGCATTCTGAACTTTTTGCTTACAACAGTTGAAACAATTTTTATAAATTGTGTCTTTCATAACAATTAGCTGAATCAAATGAACCATATTTAAGAATGAGCAAATATACAGTGGAGAAAGTAATTCCGCCAAAAGAGACGGTACTCCTGATGACACTGTCTGTCATCTGAAAGATGTCTTTACAGTGCCATAGTTGTCGTCATGGTTGTACATCACCAGCGTATAGGGTGACCAGATGTCCCGATTTTGGGGTCTTTTTCTTATATAGGCTCCTATTACCCCCACCTACTGTCCTGATTTTTCACACTTGCTGTCTGGTCACCCTACCAGTGTAGCAGTGTGTAATATTTGAAAGAATGGAATGAAACCTTTCCTCGAAAATACAATGCATAAAAACTGATGAGAAAAACTGGTTGAGTAATACCACAGCAAGGTTGGCAAATCATGAAAAGGATTAAGAAAGACCAAATGTATTGCTATTAGAGCTGGAAAGAAAGTGGTTTTCCCATTCCATGAAACTTTTTGAAATTTCAGCCATTTTTCCCATTCCATCCTGAGACAAACCTGAGACGTTCTGAAGTTTTTCTGTGAAAAATGGGAGAGACCCACCTCATAATAGCCAGGTGGTCAGGGCACTCATCTAGGACGTGGGAGACCCAGGAGAGAATTCCTGACTCAGACCAGGAACTTGAATCTGTGTCTTCCACATTTCAGGTAAGTGCCCTAAGCACCAGGCTATTGGCTATCCTGGAGCAAGTGACTGGTTGCATATGTCTGTTTCTCTCCCTCCCAGACCTGAGGAACCTTTCCTGACAAAAGTTTTATCTAAACAGGTAGGTTCCAGAAAAAGTTTCAGTTTCACTGAATTGGCATTTTCAGACAAAAAGGGTTTTGGTGAAAAATTCCCAACCACTTGTAATCACTGTGCTGGAAAATGAGTTATTCTGGCTGCATAGCTAACTTTACTCTTTCTGTACGTGTGTGTACTGATGGATCAGTTTTTACATGTACAGATTTCTTTCATGGCCAACTTTAGTTACTATTGAGTGCTGCATTTACCTGTGTTCACGGCTTGCCATCCCACAGAAAATGGGGTCCTTGCTTGAATTACATACATAGTAATGGGGCTGTGATTATCTGCTCCTGGCCTCCAGGATAACTGAGCTGTAGTGTCAGTGATTTCATCTATTGTCACGGCTTCAGGTGGGCCTGGTGGACCTGTGATAAAATACATACAAAACAGTTCAGCTCAAATAATTGAGATGACATAATACAGCATGTGAAGGAAGGAATGTTCTATTCTTCATTTAAGATTCAGTAACAGAAAGCTCAGACTTAGAACGGAATGGCTCTGTGGTTTTTGCCTCTAGCACCTAGACCTAGGAGCAGCCCTAGCTGTTTTGCCACCCAGGGTGAAAAATGTGCTTGGCACATACCCCCTTGCATAGGTATGGCAAAAAAATCCCCCCCCAAAAAAACAAAAAACTCACAACAGCCAAACAACTGTCCAATCAGCAGAGCAAAACAAAGGCTGACCAATCAGAGCAGAGCAAAAACAGCGGGCTAATCAGAGTGGAGCAAAAACAGCCTGTCAGAGGAGAGGGGAAAAGAAGCACCCAGTGGTGTGGTGGAGCCCCAAGGAAGTTGGTGCCCAGGGCTACTGCCCAGTTCGCCCAGCCCTAGAACCAGCCCTACCCAGATCTATCAGACCTTACTGGCAGACCAGCAGTGCAGCTCATGGGCAGTGTAGCCCATCTAGAAGAGAATTGCTACAGTTGAAGTAGACTTTACAGCAGAGAATTTAATTAGAAAAACACATAAGAATGTGCTTAAGTGCTTTCTAGACAACTTAAACTCATGCTTAAATGATTTGCAGACTCAGGGCTGTAAAGCGATAGTGTATCTAGTTCAGTCACTTCACTGTAGTAATAATCCAATGCAATTAGTTTAATCCAATGCAATTTGTACAGATCTCTGTGCGAAACAGCTATTATCAGAAAGCATTCAATAGCAATGGCCTGAAAAGAATTAACCTAAAGTACCAAATATCCAAAAGAAGAAACACAAAAGTTTGGTCTCCTAATTCCAAGAAGTCAGACTCTTCCTCTTTACTAACTACTGAAGTTGTAAAATCGTTGCTTGATAACCACCTGGGTTTCCTCTGGTGATAAAACAGACAACTTTCCTGCAAACTCAAGCCATGATTTGGATAGGTCTAGAGCAGGGGTGGGCAACCTATGGCACACGTGCCGAAGGCGGCACGCGAGCTGATTTTCAGTGGCACTCACACTGCCTGGATCCTGGCCACCGGTCCGGGGGGCTCTGCATTTTAATTTAATTTTAAATGAAGCTTCTTAGTTTAGTTATATATTATAGACTTATAGAAAGAGACCTTCTAAAAACGTTAAAATGTATTACTGGCATGCAAAACCTTACATTAGAGAGAATAAATGAAGACTCGGCACACCGCTTCCGAAAGGTTGCCGACCCCTGGTCTAGAGCGTAAGTGCACAAGAAAGGACAAAGACCCCAAACTTCTGATTTCCTTCTATAAAGAAGAAAGGCAGGAGCATGATACAGATAAAGACCTATTTAAAACCTGGTTAAGAGAAGGCTTTACTACAGCTGGTTGAAATTTTTACAAATTCAATGACATTTCAAAATTCTAAAATGAAAAATAAATACTACATTTTCACAATCCTCTTCCTTCTCACCCCCTCATTTTTGCCGACCGTAAGATTGGTGGATGTGTTTCAAATTTCAAAATTCCAAAGGAAAAAAAGTTCAAAAGTATTTTTTGCAAAATTTAGCAGAAATTGACTTATAAGATTTTCCAGTTTCTAAATCTAGATTATTTAGACCAACAATGCACTGATTCAGGCCTCTCACCTAGTACCTTATTCAAATACTCAATATAATATCACTTTAGATTACCTGCTGTAAGACTTGCTTCTTTTGCAACCAGCCTGGTCAAGTGTCTTACAGATTAGACAACAACCCCCCCCCCCCCCAAATAAAACAAATTTTGAAGCAACTGCTGTGATACTTTTTACTTCCAAGACTCTGGGAGAGTACAGTTCTCCTTAGACAAGATAGTTTGATAATATCTTAGAAGTTCTTCAATGTTATACTGGTCACTTAAATCCACTGAAAACTAGAGACACAGCTGGAAAAGGGCGAGAAGAGAAAATGAAATTAAGATATGGATCCACCCTCACTTCAGCAATGTGTGCCTGTTTTAGCTGCCAGCATGCACAGTCAAGAAACACTATCATTACATGGCTTCAGAATGAGTGGAACTCTAAGCCTGTGATGGGTGGCTTATTTGTTATTTATACAATTCCACAGGAATGTTTGTTCAGTATTATCTTGTCAGTTTTTCTTGTTTTGTATCCGCTGACATAAGATACCTAATTTATTTGAATTCTAGATGTGAATAACACACCATATCTAATCTGTGTTATTAATTTAACCTACCTAATTTGAATGGCTATATTGTACATTTATTAAAACTTTTTTCTATGCATTTAACAACACACTTTTATGGCATGTATCACCTTTCTCCATGCCTATCCCCACAGTATCTTAGTGGCTCTGTCCACAGGAACAATTTTTGTGTGCCCCAGTAAAGGGGGAGGGGGAAGAACAGAAAAATCTATCTTATGTTTTTATACTCTCATGATCACAGTATCTGAGTGTCTTGCTTGAAAATTGGTAGCTATAAGTCCTTAGTAGACTTCATGGGGTCTCTGGCTCACCTCCTTTTTGGGGCTCAAACTATGGTTTGGTGTTTTTTGTTTTGTTTGTTATGGGTTTTTATATTTTATTTTTATTTTTGGGAGGCATAGGAGGGTGTCTGTGTGGTGTCATTCTGCCTATTATGCAAAGGCAAAAAATATGAACAAAATGTCAGTGTAGTAGGGTGACCAGATGTCCCGATTTTATAGGGACAGTCCCAATATTTGGGGCTTTGTCTTATATAGGCTCCTATTACCCCCCAGCCCGTCCCGATTTTTCACACTTGCTGTCTGGTCACCCTACAGTGTAGTGAGAAGGAAACTCATCTAGACAAAGCACAGACCATGAGAGCATTCAAGGAGGACTTGAAAGAGCCATCATTCTTGCCCAGGCAGGGCTGCTGTCGTTTTGGGAGGTAGCCTCTCCAGCATGAGTATGGAAAGGCAGAAAGTAACAGAGCCATGATCCTCCTGCTATTCCTCTGTTATGAGAGCATAGACCAGACCCTTGCAAAGGATGGCTCCCCTCTTCTGGAAGACGTTGGATCTTTAACAGCATGAGGTCTTGCAGGTCTTGAACGGGCCACAGGTCCCCAGGTAGTGCCCAGACTACAGTGGCCATCAGGCAGCTCGCTGGAACTGAAGAAGACGACTAGCAGAGCTTTAGCTCACTCTGGGCTCCGCCCACAAAATATCCTGATTGGAGGAGATGTCTGGCCCCACAGATTGGCTCAGGTGCACAACTTAAGCCATCAGGAGGCCCAGGAAGTTATCTGGGCAAGTAGGTGAATCCCTGGCTGGCTGCCACTTTGGACCCTGCTAGTTCCTGTCCTCTTTATCCCAGATCTTCCTCTGCTCCCAATTCCTATTTTCATACCTCAGTCCAGCTTCCTGCTCTTTTGCTCTACCTATTGTAGTAAGATGAGGCCCTGAAACATAAAACCTTGTATCAGAGGCCCGGTATGAGGCCTGAGGCTTGAACTAAAGTAATGGTCAAGACTTTGCAAACATAAAGCAAAGTTAAGCTGTGAGCCAGAGGCAGGCCCTGCTCACAAAAGTTGGCAAGAAGAAGGCTGCTAATTGGACATATACACATATCTAAAGGGTATCAAGTCCTAATAAGATAAACAGGTGCCAGGCTGGCACCAGAACAGTCCAGCATGAACACATTCCACAGAGATAATGAGGAACAGGCCGATTGATCCTAAAAGACAGGGTCAAAAGGATAATATGATGGATAGACTTGTTTGTTCGAATCAACATGTACCAGGAGAGAGGCAGCACCCCAACATGCAGAGGGGTTGTACCTTGATGTGTCAGGAGTGATGTGTAACTTGTTTGTACCTGTGTATAAGAATGCATCCCTGAGTGGATGTCTTTGTCTGGCCTAGGGGGCAGTGGTAAATCCCGCCACTGACTGAGCCGGTCCATTGTCAGGGAGCACATACGTACTAGCAGAACTATAGACATCTGATCCGGGGAGCTAGAGACTGTGTTTCGTTTGGCAATAAACCTGGGCGGGTGCCTTTGTACCTTATCAGAGTCTGTGGTCTTTGGCAGTTCACTTGGGGTCTGATGTGTCAGCTATCTGCGCAGAGCCGGGGCAGCACACAGGGGGAACACACGTACATAGTCGACTGTTATCATCATTGAACAGAGCAGAGCACCACACCGGTGATGTCTGACAACATTGGTGGCCCCAACGGCTGATCTGGTGAGTAAGCGAGCTGTCCGCTGTAGGAATCGCAATCTAACATGACAGAAAACCACGAGCTAGGGAACCCCCTTAACCCCTCGATGCAAATCCCCCCCAGAGTTTAAAAAATATAATGGGGAAGAAACATGTAATGTCATTTTAAAGGCTAGAGTAGAGACTGTAACCTTAAAGTGTAAAATATTGCAAACTATAACCATAGCTATTAAGTGATTAAAACAGCATGCCACAAAATTGGCGGGGCAAGTAACAGTAACAAAGAAAGAGTTAAAAGAATCAAAAGAAGCTACACAGATCTGGAATGCTCCCACCCCCCTTGCAGGGTGGCAAGCAGCCCAGAGACAACCAGCACAGGAACAGAATAAAACATTGGAAACAGCTGCAAGGAACCTACAAAAAAAACATTTGCCATCCCCTGTTATAAATATTGGTGGCAAAGAGCAGGCTTTAGGTAGCTACCCTGTGCCTGAAGAATGGGGACAGAAGTGGAAAAAGGTAGCCCTAGTAAAATTAAAAGATGGGGTCCACTGCAGTGCAACCACCACCTTATGATAAAAGCCAGGTTCTGGTAAAACCTAACCTGGGACCTAGACTGGTGCTTGTCAGAACGGGGCAAGTAAGTGCACAAATGGAAAAAGTAGCACACAATACTTTCACTGAATTGGTAAATCAAATGAAGGAAAAAATGGAACAGTTCACAGTGCACATTACAAGACAGGAGCTGCGACTCAATTGCAGGGGAGTGAATAAAAAGGTATTTCAAAGTCAAAAACTAAAATTTAGCAGGTTAACACCTAGAATTGATGCATTAACATATGGAGTTGCCCCAAAACAGTTAACTGCAGGAAAAAAGGGCACTACTGCAATCTGTTTGGCATGCAGACAAAAGCAACAGACACTGGGGGAACAAATTCAGGTTTTACAAGAGCAGATAATTACCCCCACTCTCATCTCAGAGCCAGGATTAAAACCCAGGTGTGGTTTCCCAACTGCTTTGACCCATGGAACCACACTCCGCACTCAGCTAAAAATATAACCTCCTTTCTCAAATATTTTTACATACCAGTATGTTTTCTTTTATATCCTTTATCAGTTGTAACTTGCTGCTACTGCCTGGACCTTAAGAGTTAATCTCTCTTGGCTCAAGTCTCACTACCTTCCTAGGTAGCTTTTCAACCCCCCACACTCCTTTTTCCCTGCCTCTCCTCACTTCAACTCTTTCTCTGTGTTAAAAGTTATAGGTTTTACAGAAACCTCCAAAAGATGAAGCAATTGAAAACAGAACAAAACAAGAAACAAAAAGAAAATAAGGTAAAAACTTTATTTTAAATAAACCCAGTAAATTAATTATTTTAACCCTTCAGGAATGCAACAGCTGGAATTATTCCTAACTTTCTTGAAGATATGGTTGGCAAGCCACAGAAATGCACACTCTGCTTCTAATCCTAACCACTCACTAATATTTGAAACATGGGCTTTTCTTATTTCTATATAGCACAGTTTTAAAATAATGTTAAATATAAAGTAATGCAAAATTCCTTGTTACCAAATTAATACAATACATTTGGCAAATATTAATATATTTTTTATCAATTTTTGTTAAAAGTTTTAAATAAGGTAATATTTAATGTTTAACTCTTTTTATTTTTTATTTTTGTTTGCCTTATTTTGTATGCTTATGAATAGAATTCTGGTGCCATTTGTTTTTAATTGTAAGTTTGTCCTGTATGTCATGTGTGTTGTCCTCTGTTGTATGTGTCATGTGACTATTTCTTATTATTTTTATTTTGTTGCAACAAAAGTCAATTTTATACCCTTTTGAAAGCATATGTATATGTGGTACCACACTGTTTTAAGATCATGGATGGGGTATAAACATAGTATTATTAACAGCAATTTTTTTGTGCAAAGCTCAAAAAGGTTTCAGTTACAAATATGTGTATATTTCTGCCTCAAAAAATAATGCAATTGCAAACAAAAATAATTCTCTTTTATTAATCAAAGTTTTGTTTTGTTTTTTAAGGTTTTTTTATTTGTTATTCAAAGGAAAAATGTAAGGGGAAACCTCAACATTAAGGTAAAGATAATATTAACAAAATGTCAATTTCTTGTTTGGGTTTTTATTAAGTTTGCACTTTTAAATATAATTATAAGAATGTGATAGCAAAAATGTTTAAAAATAACAATTTACGCATAAAGCTAACCAAACAATTTCAACAGGTTTCCACGTTTTCAATAGGTTTCCACCTTTGGCTCCCAAACACAACAAAGCATCATGAAAGTTTAATACTGTCAAAGTATTTGCATGGCCCTCTATTTAAAATTTATTTTGGTTTAATTTTATAGTTGGTTTAATTTTATACACTTTTCTTTTGTTATGTTATGTTAATGGAAAGCAGTGGTGTTAAAGTTTGTGCTTGTAAACAGTTAACAAGAGTGAAATTGGTATCACAAGCAAATTAACTCTAAAAAGCTTGGTAACAATTATGTTATTGACACTTTTGCTAACACAGAATGTTCATCAGGAAAAAAAGCAATACACCTTCTCACAGAAGATTTGAGCATTTAATTTAGCAGTTAAGCATTACATTTAGTATAAAATATTAGTAATGCGCCTCAAATGAAAATGAATATCTATACAACAATTGCAGAAGTATAGCTTGTGTTATAAAAAGCTCGGTCCCTATTACATTGTTCTTATTACATTGTAAACAAACTAAGTTAAACTGTGTATTAATTTTGGGTTACTGAAAACAAAAACAAAAAAGGAAAACAAACAAAAAACTTCACTATGTTAACTAACAAACGTTGTTTAAGTTGCATCCCACAGACCAAAGACACCGGAAAATATCAGTATACAGTGAAGAAACTCCCAAGCATCAAGAAAAGAAAAATGAAGTGCTTTATAAATAAGAGACTGGTCAAATACACCTCTATCTACCATATATGGACAATTAAGTTAACAATCAGCTAAAAACCACTAGCTGGACCAGGATAAACTGTCATTTAATTTCAACTTGATTAATTGTGTAAAAACAACTGTATTATTGCTGTACTGCTGTATTATCGTTGTACTGCTGTATTATTGCTATACAACATTTACAATGTGCATAACTTTGCTAAACTGTTTAACCAACACACAGGTAAAAATCAACAAATGAATGGCAGCAATCAACATGAAGGCAAGGAAAAAAACAAATTGGCAAAGAAATTAAGTTACACAGTAACTATAAATTGGGTAAACAAATTCCATGTTAGTACCCATCATAATTTGGATTACTGACACTGCATCCTAACTAAGGCACATGTTATTCAAAACAACCTTGCTTAGTGTCTGGATACCAATATTCCAAAAGCTCTTACTACATCCTGACACAGCAATATTTGATAAATTGGCTACTGTCCATTCAGTAGGTTATCTGGAAAACAACATCCATAAAAACAGCTGGATCTACGTCAACTACTGGTGTATCATGGGGCAAAGCAATCCCTGGAACAGAAAAGTTAGCCATTCCTGTTTCCTGCCCAGCAAAGCTTACCAGAGGGTGACAACCAGCAGTAAGGTGACCCATAACATGAATGCACAGTACCGGGTAGTAATTAATTACAAGGCATTTATATATAAAGGCCTCATTTGTAGTGTCACTACTCCAAATTTCTATTTTACTTATATACATAATACTGTGGAACACTCTATAACAATGCCCATCCCAGTATTTCAAAACACTCAGCCTATTACTAATGATGATACAGGTGATAACTGCAATTGCCCTAATAGGAGTGTATTTCTATCTGTGTCACCAAGTAAAAGGGCCAGAGTACAACACCAGACTGGAAAAACATGGTTACGCTTGGATATAAGGCGGTGTCATATGTACACATACATACTATACATATATACCCATATACGCTACAAATATATACACCATATCCATATTATTCATATATATTCATTATTTGGGAGTGCCTCTAACTCTCAATCAATACTACATTCCTCAGTCATGGTCCCAGGCCTAACATTCCAAGGCCCACCATAAGGCACTAAAAATAATTGGATAATAAAATCTGTCTATCAGTCGTACGAGGGAATGTGCAGACTAAAAAGACAAGTGGGGTATGAGTGTATGGATGGTAAAATGAGGTAACCACATAACAGTGTTTAGCCCACTGAGTTATCTGTAGTCCATGCATTATGCTTTTCTGGGACGATGGGTAAACATCCTCCCCATAAAAAGACAAAAAGTGGGGGAATGTAGTAAGATAGGCCCTGAAACATAAACCCTTGCTATCAGAGGCCCGGTATGATACCTGAGGCCTGAATTAAAGTAATGGTCAAGACTTTGATAAAGCAAAGTTAAGCTGTGAGCCAGAGGCAGGCCCTGCTCACAAAAGTTGGCAAGAAGAAGGCTACTAATTGGATGTATACACATATCTAAAGGGTATCAAGTCCTAATAGGATAAACAGGTACCAGGCTGGCACCAGAACAGTCCAGCATGAACACATTCCACAGAGATAATGAGGAACAGGCTGACCCATCCTAAAGACAGGGTCAAAAGGATAATATGATGGATAGACTTGTTTGTTCGAACCAACATGTACCAGGAGAGAGGCAGCACCCCAACATGCAGAGGGGTTGTACCTTGATGTGTCAGGAGTGATGTGTAACTTGTTTTTACTTGTGTATAAGAATGCATCCCTGAGTGAATGTCTTTGTCTGGCCTAGGGGGCAGTGGTAAATCCCGCCACTGACTGAGCCGGTCCATTGTCAAGGGGCACATACGAACTAGCAGAACTACAGACATCTGATCCGGGGAGCTAGAGACTGTATTTCGTTTGGCAATAAACCTGGGCAGGTGACTTCGTATCTTATCAGAGTCTGTGGTCTTTGGCGGTTCTCTCAGGATCTACTGTGTCAGCTATCTGCGCAGAGCCGGGGCAGCACACAGAGGGAACACATGCACGTAGCCGACTGTTATCATCATTGAACAGAGCAGAGCACCACATTGGTGGCATCTGACAACACCTATGACTCTGATTCTGGCTTCGACCCTTGGCTTGACTCTTGCCCCAGGTTCCTGACTGTGACCTCTAGGTTTGACCACCCAGGCCTCGGTCATCACAAACAGCTTCCTCTGTGGTGGTGTGACTCCACATCGACCTCTAGTAAGTAGAGCTAGGCAAATAATTGATTTGTCAGTTTGGTGGGAGTTCAAGAAATAAAATCCAAAATATTTTCGTTTGGGTTGAACTGAATCAGAAATATTTTGGTGAATAAAAAGAAAGTCTGTTTCAGACTATGGATTTGAACCCACATCCCAAGTGTGTGCCCTAACCACTGGGCTAATGGTTGTCAGGTGGGGAATAACATCACCACCTCCTTCTCCTTCTCTGTCTGTTTTGTGACTAGCCAAAACTATACCAATAGTTTATGAATAGTTACAGGTCAAGCTGAAACTGCTTTTTTTTCGGTCAAATAATCTATTAGTCTGAGAATCTTTCCCCAGCTCTACTAGTAAGGACGGCCCTTAGTATGCCTCACAATGGTGCAATAGGTATTATTCAGCCTAATAATGGTTATGGAAGCTGAGGACATAAATGACTACTCATAAGGGTCAGTGGCAGAACCAAAAGTGAAGCTTGGGAGCTATGGCTCCTGGTCGCACACCCTAATGTTTTGACAATACATTTATCCGCCTTTGTGGCATGCATAAACCCTTATCAATAAGTTACTTGCTTTCTGTTTCCTCACCCATCCTGACACAGAAAGTTCCCATAGTTTCCCTGGCCCTTTTTTCCCCTCCATGTATGTTTGAATGATTTCTTTATTTTGGTAAGATCGGTACAATTAGCAACAAAAATGGCCCTGCTTTTCAGTTGAGGAGGCAGAATCAACAAGAGCGTGCGTAGTCGCCATGGGAGAACAATTTTGTCAGAAAAGTTTCAGACTGGTGTTTTTTGTGGTGGCAAGGTCATTATTTCTGATATCATTGTGGTCATTTTGTTGTAAGAATCATGTTCTTGTTGACTGATTACAGAGCTGGTTTACGGGAAGTTACCTAACTCATGTTCTCATCAGTGGACTGTTTTGAAATGTTTATGCAAAAATATTTATCTGAAACAATAAAGACAAAAAACAGCAATGTAACTGTAGGAGCTGAGCTCTCTGGGGATATGGGGTAGCAGCTTTCTTTATTGGACAGGGGATGTCGAATATAGCAATTAATGAGTTTTTGCTTCACACATGCCCTCACAAACAATGATTTGATGATCTGGCACATGCCATTTCATCAACAGCTATCATCAGCATGTGTTGATAGATTCATGAGGAGAAAACATGAATGTTACAGTCATTCCTCCCATAGGTGTAGCTTTTCTCAACTATTTTGCTAATTAAATAAAGAGAAATTCAGAGTTTAGGAACAACAGACCTAAATCATTCATTGCGTTTGTAAGGGGACTGTTGCCCCTTACTAACATTCAGTGGGGGTGTTTTGGTTGGCTAGCTCCCAGCACTAAAAGGGGAGGGGTCGATGGGAAATCAGGACCCTGAGACTGACAGCCCCCAGGAACAATGGCGAGAGGCCAATGCTCCAGGTCAGCCTGATTGACAGGGCGGGCAGGCTAATCAGCATGACAGGAGGCCAGGGGTGGGTCCCGTCCTCCGTGTGAGTTGGAATTACCTGGGTCAGACTGAGTGGGGCCGAGCTAAGGAGAAAGCTGGGGCCCAAGCTGAGCTGGAGAGCAGAACCGTGCCAGATCCAGAGGGACCAGAGACGCAGCCACCGAGCCAGAGACATAGCCCAGGGAGAGGAGATCCTGTGCTGGGGCCAGAGGCGCAGCCACAGAGCCAGAGACGCAGCCCAGGGACAGCAGATCCTGTGCTGGGAGCAGGGCTGCAGCCACAGAGCCAGGTGTGGTGAGCAAGTGGGGCCAGCCAAGGGGGGGGACCTTGGACAAAGGGCACAGCACAGAAAGACACCCCTAGCCAAGGGTCCTTGCAGGCCAGACCGGGAGGGGGACCGTAACCTGACGGGGGGCTGACGCTGGGAAGAAGGGTCCCACCACTCAAAGCCCGGAGGTGTGTGGCCACCACCATTGCAAGTGTCCAACCCGCAGCATCCCTGCAGCACAGCCAGGGCCTGAGAAGGAAATCTGGGACCTACAAGGAACAGACTGCGAAGTGCCCTGACGTTCCAGAGACACTGTTTGTGATGTTCCCTGCCACAGAGCGGGGTGATGTGTTTTCCTTTAACCTTTCCCATTTTTCCTTATTCTTTTCTTTAGATTAATTGTTAATTAAACAACTTGTATTTGCTTTAAATTGTATGAAATAATCAGTGGGTCAGGGAGGTGCCCAGTGCAGAGAGAGTACCCCGGAGTGGGGACACCCTAGCCCCTGTCCTAGGTGACCACAGCAGGGTTGGGGGTTGAGCCCCCCAGGAATCCTGGGATCAGCCTTGTTGGGGTTACGAGGATTCTGCCAGACAGGAGAGTGGAAGGGGAGCCCTCAAGGGCAGGGAGGCCTCTGGGTAAAGGGAGTGGGAGCGAGGACTCAGATTCTTTCGCTAGTCTTCCATTGGCAGATAAGTATGCAAGCTTCTCCTCACACTGCCCAAAATGTACCTGCCTTTACCTTGACCCAGAGGGACATTTTCAGCGGGGTGAGAGTCCAATTTGATCTCAGTTCCCATCCCATTCATAACTGCTTTGCTGAGGCAATCTAACAAAGGCAACTAGAGCAAGTTGCAGGTCTGGGTGTTGGGATAGTGTCCATTCCTATGAGGTACTGAGCACCCTCAACTTCCGCTGAAATTGGTAGGAACTAAGATTGCTCAGCACCTTGCATGAGCAGAATGGGCATGTTTAGGGACTGGTTTGGTTGAAACTAACAATTATTTTTTCCGACACAGCAACTATACACTGAATCCAGGCTATATTCATGCTTGTGACCCAGAATGAAGATTTAATACATTCAAATTAAAGGCCACATTCACAGATCATCTAAGCACACGAAGGATTTGATCTCAAAGTTAACCATGACGGTGGTTTTACTAGATCATGATTAATCTGGAGAAGCAATGCAGTATTGACAGCAACAAATTTATTGAATTAACATTACAGTATTTCAGTTGCAGAAGTAATTCAATATAAAATCTTGTTTCTGCAAGTTATGAAAATTTTGTGATGGATATATAAACACACATACAAGGATTTTTGTGTGCAGAGTTTGGAAAATGTACTGTGTGGTACCTTGGAGCTTATTTCTTACAATAATGATAAGGTGTTAGGATTTTAATGAATTTCTCTGAGACCATGTATTGTATTACCAAGAACAGCAGATAGTGCAAAAAGTAGTTTTACAACAGCAACAAAATTCAAATACCTCTTACAATCAGGTCTGCAGTAGCCGATAGCTTGTCCACAGTTGTTTGCACCATGCAGACGTATTTCCCAGCATGCTTCAGCTGGATGCTTCTGATCATCAAATCACCAGCTGAATCCTGCTGATAAAGTAGGGAAAAGTGGTTACAATTACTTTTTAATGAGCTCTAAACATCATTACCACACGAAGGACACTGTGACTAATGGATTTATTTTACACCGGCTGATGAAAACATTAGTAATGGAAGCTGTGTGGCCTATTATAAATATGTGAACCTGCCTTGAAGATAAGAGCAGTAGCATTTCTAAAATTATAGTTTCTACAACGGATGGGGGAGTCGGGTTTGGGTCAGTTAGACAGTTTACCATTCAAATGACGTGACAAAACTTATGTGAGGCAGGTTCTCTATGATTCCTTATTTATCTCTCCAGCCATCCAATGTATAGACTTAATTGGTATTCAGATATCTATGTTCTGCCTACAGTCATTTCATAGGTGAAAACCAGCCTAAATTATGAGGCATCTGCAATAGTTTGACAGCCTTGTCTTACAGCCAGCATTTTGATTGCCCACAATTCATATATTAAAGATCATGAGAACAGTACTCTCTAAGGAAATCTTGCTTCACCTAGAGTGGAACAACACTAATGCATGTCTGATTAGCAGTTGAATAGAACTAATTATGTTTATATATGTATATGTATCTCAGTATTTCTATACTCTTCACCAGACACAATGCTTTCAGTACATTAGAAATCTCAGTGTAAGATTGTGATTACGGCATCTTCAGTGAAGAATAGTAATAAAGTTTGCAATTTTAGTTTTGTAGCCCTATCAAGTGTAATCACTAGAAACAGCTGTCTCTGTTGCTGTGTACCCTACAGTGCAGATCTTTGAGTTATATGTTGCATCTTCAAATTAATTTTATTTGCCCCCACCCTCAAAATGATAACAACAAGGCTCATAAATTGCATTTGCTTTTCCCGGCAGCACTAAATTTCACACCTGAGAAATGTAAATGGAGACCATCACTCTGTTTAAAGTCTAGAAAAGGCTCTAACTTTGTGAAAAGTCCATGAAAGCCACACATGGAAACCTTTTTCTCTCCCTCCACTACTTCTAGTGAATACATATTTGATTTCTTCCATCTTTTCTGCCAGCTACATTGAATGCAAGCAGACAACGGAAAAAAATGAAATGAAATATTTTTTTCTGTTGCAACTAGGTTAGAGATTAAACCCTCAACAGACCTGCACAAAATGGAGTGGGTACAACTAGATGAAATCGGAAATGTGAAAAATAGCATAGAATTTCCAAACGAAAGCAAACTTTCCATCCACGCTATGAGTATAACCTATGTGACAGCTAATGCTTTTGTTTGAAACAATGTTTTTTATAATCACACATCATATTTCATCTTTTCTACCACAGTTGGGTATACAAGCATGTAATATGATAAGATACATGGACTTTGTCTATGTATGAAATACTGCACTGTACCTTCACCCAACCCAGTTTTCAAACTTTTTATTCAAATGAAACAGAAGTGAACCTAAACCTTATATTTTCAGTGAACTGCAAGGGATTTTGGTCCTGGGCCCAAGTGACCTCAAAAGAAGTCACACACAACAACTCAACCTGTGGTTTACCCCTTTGAAAATTTAAGGGGTGAAAACTTTTCATCTGTGTTATCAATTTTTTTCAATCAGAAGAATAACATCCAAAAGTTTGGTTGGTTGTGGGGAGCAGGACCAGCTCTAGGCACCAGCAAACCAAGCACGTGATTGGGGCGGCACAATTCCAGGGGCGGCATTTTTTTTTTTGCTTCGGCAGTTGCGCTCTTGGAGGATTTGGTTTTTTTTTTGCTTGGGGCGGCCAAAAACCTAGAGCTGGCCCTGGTAGGGAGAGACTCATGGATCTGTTATTCCTATTTTAAACCTTCTTTATAATGACTTAATCCAGAATTGTCCCTTGGGTATGGCAAATCGGGGTGATTGCTCCAGGCCCCATGCTTTGGGGGACCCCACGGGCCGGTGCGATTGGCTATTGCGGTCAGTTCCGGAAGTGATGGGTCAGTCCCGAAAGTGACAAATTCGTCACTTCCGCCCCCGGCCCCGCACCTCCCTAGGGACGGCCCTGACTTAATCATATACATTTTATAGCATCCAATGTGTAAGACTCCCAGAGATGGTTGGTATTACAAAAAAGTGTGAACATTAAAAACAATTACAGGTGAAAACACATTAAACCAGCAAGTGTACTATTCATATTTCAAACTACTGACAATAGTGCCTTAGATTGCCTCAAATGACTGTTAAGATCTTAGATGTTAAGGTGCATTGGATGACTCAGGGGCTCTTTTCACCTCTAGGTCAACAGTTTGATCCTGACTACTGTTGGTAGTGACTGAAAGTTATTACCTCAGGATGGCTGTTCATGAGTCCATGTGTAATGAGATCTCATTCTTATAGGGTGTGGTTTCACATTACTAAATCCCCTTTCAAATGAGATATCTATGTCAATAATCTCAGTAGAGAGGCCAAGTACTGATGTGATTAATGAAATAGACTCTATGCCTGATCCGCTCCCTTGTTTTCTTTTCAAAGGCATCTCTAGGAATTTGTACTGAAGTAGTATGGCATTTTTCTTTCCTACAGGCCCCATGAGGAAACCTGCTTGTGAACACTGCAGGAACACCAAAAGCACCATGAGATTGTCATCTTCATACAGAGGACCTTGATTGCAAAGGTATATTTAAGGCTTTAGACTTTGAGAAATGACTTCAACTTAGTGGCTTTGACAATTGGTATATTCACTGCCGCTGGGATCTTCAAAAGGGCCCATCCCTAAACAGCACTCAACTTCCATTTAATTTCAGTGAGATTTGGATGCATTAACTCCTTTAGGTTCCTTTGAAAATACCAACCTACATCTATTAAGTCAAACCTCAAACATACTGTCACAGACAAGGTACCATGCAGAAAGACTGGCTGCCTCATGGTGCTCTTCCTGCTGCCATGCAGTGGATCCTTGAAGAGAAAAGACAATATGACCCATAAATACTATAAAAATGGCCAAATCTTGATCCCATTCAACTAAATGCAAAAATTCCTATTGATTTCAATGGGACCAGGAATGGGCCCAACGTCTTTTGTTTTAAAAACAAAAGAAAACTATAAGATTAAGGCCTGGAGGTCTTTTCAGTGAGTTTAATGGCCACAAGGGTACTAGATTCACAGCCATGGAGACCTCTATTGACAGACAGAAGAGGTTTGGCACAGGTAGCAGTCGGGCAAACTTCCCCACACTGTCACATCAATTTACCACGCCTCATTCAGCAGATGGGAGAGGGTGGTTCATGCCTTATGCCCATTTAGCTCGCAGACTCTCCATGGAAGCTGCTAACAATAGTGTTAATTAGTGCCGATTTCGGTAGTTGTTTTCTGATGGGCTCCAAACAACTCTAGAAGAAAGTGGATAAGTTTCACACAGGCCCGCTAGGCAGTGATCAGACAAAGTAATAACTTTGGGAGCTGCTGTATTTGAACTAGTGTCCTAGAGGTGAAAGGTGTGGGGTCACTAGTTAAGTGAATTTGAAATGAAATAATGTATCTCACAAGGCAGAGAGGATTTTTATGGATGCTTTCCTAATCCCATAGTCTATTCTGTAATGAGCAACTTTACATTTTGAATGTGATCAAAATGGTTACAACTCTTGTCAAACCTGCTCTTTTACTCCATACCATATTTTCATGGGCACAATCTTTCTAACCTACGAGTAGCATATTCTTTGGTCATTGAAAATATTTGCATTATCTGGTGCCACAGTTTAGAATTCAGATAAACAAAAAAGTATTAAGTGGCGTTAATACCAGCCAGCCATATCACACAGACAGAAAAATCAGATGGTAAAACATTGAAAGAAAACCTGATCCCAGAGGCAACACTGTCCATAATACTATGCAGATTATGCAGTTTGTGGGAGGAGGGGATACTTATTTTGAAGATGTAAACTGGCACAAGAGTGAGTACACATTGATTTATGAGGGCATAGAAACATGCTGACAATGACAAAGACTAATCAAACAGGTTACAGAGCTCCAGAAAAGCGGTGTTCCCCAAATTCCTTCGATTTTTTATGTGAATACAGAGTTTTACAATTACATTCAATTTATATTTTGCTGCTTCAGCAAGGAGGAGAACATTAAGGAATTTATTCACCTTGGGGCAGATTAAGAAATCTGTTATACGCAAAGGGAATTGCCAATGTATTGTAGGTATCTTTAGTATTAGTGGGATGTATTGGCATAAAATATGTTCCCCAAGAATCCACAGAAAAATAGACCATGAGAAATCTCAGTCATATTGGGCTATATGAATTACCACAAAACTAGGATACTGTACCTATTTAATGCGTTGCTTAGTAGTCAGTAAACACAAGATAAAGTTCTCACTCTTAGCAGGGATATAATTTATCTTTCCCTTTAAGTCTGGTTCTGTGTAGACTGTCCTTTTCTCAGTTATCTGTGGTCATTACTGTGTCTCAGCATAACATGTGAATGGCTTTTGGGGGTTGTTAATATTAATACTTACCCCTCCAACTCTTTCAAAGTGATCCCCGTCTTTCTCAAAGTCTATCAGGTGTCCATTAAATGACCAAGTAAACATAATATCTAGCGAGTGATCATGAGATACCTGGCAAGGCAGGACAATACTTTCTCCAACAGTGACATCCGTGCTGGAAGGTGGCACCACAACCCGTGTTGGATCTGTAAATAACAAACAGAGAACACACAAGAGAAGAATGAATCCCTTCTCCTTTAGAAATACATAGATTTCAAGAACTGATTACAACACTAGGCAGCTTGTTGCAACCTCTTTACTGGTGGGTGAACTTTTAAAAGGTTAAGAGGTTCAATTAGGACAAGAACTTAAGAGTTAGGAGGATGCTTAAAGGAACAATTGAACTATTTAGTTTGTAAAACTGGGCGAGGAATTTTGTAAGAACAGGCCCTTGAGTTCTCTGTTTTCAGCTGAGTTGAAAATACCACCTGCAAAACTTTCAGGATGTCTGCTTCCAGCCGCAGCCTGGAAGGGTAGGGAGAGGTGTATAAAAATAAAAAGGTAAAGACCAGATGTGGAGAGGGGGCGGGGAGAAGGGAAATCAAATTTGAAAGGTTTGGTTCAAATGTAGGGAAGGGGCCAAAGATCAGAGAATCTTTCATCAGAACCTGTCTATCCTCCTGTTGTCAGTTTATCACCTTCTATTTATGTGGGAATACATGCTGCAAGGTTTATCAGCCAATGTATTGGTTCACTAGTAGGGTTACCATATTTCAACAATCAAAAAAGAGGACACGGGGTGCCGCCCTAGCCCTGCCCCCTCCCACTTCCCGCCCCCCCCTCAGAATCCCCCTACCCCCTACCTGTCCCCTGACTGCCCTCTCCTGAGACCCCCCCCCACTCTAACTGCCCCCAGAATCCCACCCCTTATCTAAGTCTCCCTGCTCCCTGTCCCCTGACTGCCCCAACTGCTCTCTACACCCCCTTCTCCCGACAGCCCCCCCCCGAACCCTCGACCAATCTAACCCCCCGTTTCCTGTCCCTTGCCTGCCCCAACTGCTCTCTACACCCCCTTCTCCCGACAGCCCCCCCCAGAACCCCCGACCAATCTAACCCCCAACCGTTCCCGATCCCTTGCCTGCCCCCCCGCACCAGGCCGAGGGAGAGCTGCGAGCTGCACATGCAGACAAACACTGTGGTGCGGCTCTGCGGGGGAGGAGGGAGCGGGGGAGGGGGAGGGACTCTGGCTGCTAGAGGCCCCAGTGGCTGCGAGCGGCTTTCAATCAGGCCCAGCCGTCCAATCAGCCGCGCTGCACTCTGCATTAGGGGAAGGGGGAAATCCCGGACATTTCTACTTTATTAGAAATCCCCCCCGGATGGCCATTTAAAGCTAAAAAAGCCAGACATGTCCGGGGAAACCCGGACGGATGGTAACCCTATTCACTAGTGTTATCAGAAAAAGGGTTGTGAGTATTCTGCAAACTGAGCATTACCTCGATACCATTCCTTCATGGACTAACGTGCACTTATTGTCTGAATCATAGAGTGTGCTAAAGTAGCAGCAATCAAAGTGAAGCAAGAACATACTAAAATTAAACTAAAGCTAGTCAGAACCTCCCTTATCTGTGGCTCTTATCGCAAACTGTGTGTTTCCTTGGTACATCTGTTTACCATCGTCCCAATTCTGATGCTCTTAAGTCCATTTGGGTGAAATTATGTTTTGAAGAGGGCCCACACGAGGCCTAGGCACCACATTCCTCTTAAATGGGAGATTTTAAGTGATGCATAAGCCTTATGCTGGCTCCCTGCACAAGGATGAATTTTACCATTATTAAAATTTCAAAGCTTATATTGTAGCTCTCGACAGATATTTTCTCTCAGCCACCCCTCTTCTCCCACACCTGCCCCTTGATTTACATGCCTTTGAAGCCAAAATGATGATTTCATTTTTAAAATAGCAGTGACCCTTCCTCCCAAACAGCTCTTTATGAAGATTTTCTCATTCTGTCTTGAGATATCAGATGTTTCAATACTTAGACAGCAGGATCCTAGTGACATTCTCAGAGATACAACAAAGCAAATATTCCACCATATGTCTTACTGACGAAGACTAAGTTCACTAATGTAATGATATTAAGGAGTATTTCTCATCATGGCATAGACGCAAACGTTATGCATAAACACTGCTGAATATTTTACAACTTGTTCAAAGACAAGGCCAGGGGACAAGGGCCTAAATGTACAAAAGGAGTTATGCACCTGTCTGTTTTAGTTATCTAAGTCCCAGTTTCGGGGACCACTGGGATGCCCAAAACTTCCACTGAAACCCTGTAGGCGCCTAAACTCACTTGGCACCTATGTTTTTGCAGTAAACGTTCCCAAGTTGTTTTTGCTTCTCTCTCTGAACATGCACACTGCTGCCTTACTGTGGGCGTCTGGATGCTCATCTCCTGCTTAGGCCCCAAAGTGATTCACAAGCCAGGGAAGATAGGCATCTGACAACCTAACTCACCTGAGGAGTCCAATCTGGTAGTGTTTGAGAGCAATGTAGCTTGGCAGATTGCTGGGATACCGGGGTTGGCTTCCCGCAGTAGGATGATAAAATTATTGTTTAGGCATCTCCTACATGATGTATCTAATCCAAAGGTAAATGTTTAAAATCTGGGCATTTAGAGCTTGATTCAAACCCCACTGAAGTCAAGAGAAAGAGTCCCACTGACTTTGTTAGGGTTTGGATCATGCTTTCAAATGGACTTTAGAATGAAGTTGGACCGTTGTTGGTTCACTAACTACATAAATACAAGGAATAGAAGACTTGGGTAATACGGATTTCCACAATGTGCAGCAGGAAAACTAGCAGAACAGGTAAGGAAATACAATATGGTACCTCCCAACACAGGTATAGTATTACCATAAGTTGGCCTACAACATCTGTACTGACTATTGTGTTTCATTATAAATGTTATATGTTAGCTAGAGCTTCAGAGTCTAAAAGATTGAGTACATTGGTTTCCACCTCCAACCCCTGGAATGGATTAAGACACACTTGATTCAAGTGTGGTTCTTACCCACGAAAGCTTATGCTCCCAGTACTTCTGTTAGTCTCAAAGGTGCCACAGGACCCTCTGTTGCTTTTTACAGATTCAGACTAACACGGCTACCCCTCTGATACTTGATTCAAGCTACTCTTTACAGCAGTCCAGCATGTTACCCTAGGGTTTGTACCAGTGAGGGTTTCATTGGTGTTGCTACGCTCATGCAAAATTCCCTGTGGGTCTGATCTTGTAAAGTAAAGTTAATGGAAATTGAGGGCACTTAGCATTTCCCATCCCCCATCCCCCGAATAATTTCAAAGAATAATAATAAAAACCCACCTATCAAAAGCTCTAGATGTCCTAACACATCTTAATGCTACAATAAAATCCTAGCAGGATTACAATAATCATTTAGACAGGAACTGTCCTGTCCCTCAGCCCTCTCCAAAAACCCTATAAAATGTTTAAGAACATGAGTGTTTCCTACAAGTTTATGAGCAAAGTTGGGCAAATGTTTTTACACTAATTGTTTTACTGAGTTTAAAAAATGTTGATTTGGTGACAACAAAATATTTCTTGAATTCGTGTTGATTTAGCTGAAATTTTTTATTTTGGAAAAAAGTCAATAAAATTTCCCAAAAATGTTGAAATGGCCAGTTTTGACATTTTCAAGATAAAATGTTTAGATTTTTCAGTTCCATTTTTTTTCAAAATTTCCAGTAATTTTATTTTAAAAAAATCAAAAAGGTTTAAAATCAAATAATCAAAATCAAAATCAAATGTTTGTTTTGTCAAAACAAAATATTTCAGTGGACCTGAATGATTTTTTTTACTTTTTGGAATTGCTAACAAACTGAAAAATCCCTCCTCTCACACCTCCCACCCCGCTTTTGTCCTGATCACCTTCAGCTTCTACTAGAGTCCTATAATTTATCTTGCAGGATTGTGCCCTAAACAAATATTAGTGGCTAGTTTTGCTGAGTCTAGTCTGTACTTCCCTGTGACATCCTGCAAAAATGCAAGAGGTCATCACTACAAAAGGAAAGGGAAGGGCACGGACTGGTTGCCGAAACACACACACACACACACACACACACACACACACACACACACACACACACGTCTT